ATCAATGTACAACTCTTTGAGATGACTGCCCCTCCATGTGTCTGGGTATACTAGCTTTTCCTGAGAGATGCAATTTATTGAGTTGACAGCCTTGTCTTTTGGAAGTTTGCTCTTGGTCCCTTGAGCTTAACTATCTCAAATTTATTTATTATATATCTTATGCTTGAAATAACTCTGGGTCTTTTATCTCTTCAAAGTGATTATAGAACTTCAACAAATGAACTGAAGTAAAGTGTTTCTTACTCAAACAGATTATTTAAAAAAATATTTCTGAGGTGGTGATATACAAGAGTTATTAATCTGGACTAACAATTTCAAAAAGATAAAATGCCAGTGGAAATATATCAAAGCTTTATCCATTTCAACACCAGATTTATCTAAGGAATATGACCTTTATAAAATGATTTCAAAATCTGAAACTTAATTTTAACATGAATTCCTTTTACTCCCAGGGCTAAATATGTGGCACACTTGTCAAATGTTTCTTTCATAGATAGTAAAATCTTTTCCTTTACACTTTTCACACAATTAAGCATATTTCAGTTTCTCTTTTTTCTACACAATGTCAAAGTAGAATCCACAAGTAAACACTGATGGCTTCATCCTATGAATACATTTATTCATGTCTCCCTCATCTTACTGTACACAGTGGTAACCAATAGACCATGAGGTAAATAAACCATTTTAGACATTCTGCCTCACTGTTTCTTATTTTTTATAGTTATCAAGGATGATACATCTCTAAATGGGATTTTAAAAAAAAAGACACAGCTAGACATCAGGTAGAAATGTCTATGACTACTGCTTCTCACAAAATGTCTTGCTCTTAAGCTGATAGGGTTGTACTCTATAAAAGCCTTTTAACCAGCACTACAAAGGTGGTTTTGATCAAGTGGATTTGATTGCCAAGATTAGGACTTTGCCGAGTAACAAGTAGTCTAGAGAGGGCACATGATCCAGGTTTTGAGAAGGTTTCAGTGGAATGTTAATAGTTCTAAATTTATTTATATTAGCTAAAAAAATAAAATATGGGAAATGTGCTGGTTTTATGATGACAATGAATATAAACTCTAACTTATTAGGGGAGATCAACATTTGCCCCAGTGAAACAGGGTGGGCATAACTAAACTCTCTTGTGGCTGCTTCTTTTACTTTTAATTATGTTTTGCTCTTCTTTATAAAAGTAATATATGTTCTTGTTTAAAAACAAAACAAACGAGGAAGATAAAAATATAGACCCATGAATCTAAACATCATCGGGCATCAGTATCTAAATATTCCAAAGATATTTAAAACTCTATGTCTAGAGTAGAATTTATCTTCTTTCTATATTCTTCCCTTCCCTCTGTAATCAACACCCACTTAGTGAATGGCATTGCTCTAGGTGGGTACTTCAGCTTTGGTACCCTCAAATGTACTTGATTCCTCCCTGTCTTCTTTATCTCGATCCAATCAATACCATAATCTGAGAATTTAGTTCCTGACTATTTGTGCTTTTATTTAAAACTTGTATTTTCTTTCTCCAGAATCATTTCTTATATTACAAAAATTTTCATAATTACCATATTAACAATAGTGTACTAATTTTTACTTGTTTCTATAGGTCAGTCCTATTTCTTTTATTCTGTAACAACTCTATTAGTAAATTCTTTGTTTTGATCATTTCTACATCCGCTGGCATACTTCTTTGTTTTCCTGATAAAAGTTATGTAGCTGGTTTGCTTTCCAAACACTTAGACTATTTATTTCTGTTGCCCTCTCTCATAAACTATAAGGCTTGGCAGCTGTATTATTAAATAATATTTTTTCCCTTGAAAAACTCCAGACATAATTTATTATGGTGTTTGTACAGTGGAGAAGTTCACTGCAGGCCTGATTTTATTTTTTCCTTTATGGGAATACTGTTTGTTCTACATGATTCTGACATCTATCGGAACTCTTCTTTATCCTGACAATTGAAGACCATAATGAGATATGGCTGCATGTAACTATGAATTGAAAATTAATTTTTAGAAATTGTTTCCTTCACTGACTTGGTTTTTCCTGGCGCTAACCTGCTGTTAATCACCTTCACTACACTTTTAATAGTTTCATTTCCATACAATATTTTACTTCCATATATTCTTCGAGGTTGTCCCTTCTTTACAATTTCACTTCCAGTTACACAGAAGATACCCAAGACTCAACCATAGCAAGACATAACTGATCCTTTGTTTCTTAAAAACTGCCTTATCTTACCATGTAACTGGTGGTAACTAGTATTATTCTCTTTATTCATCTTTACCTAGAGCATTCAGAACAGAGAACTGTTTTACTAATGGGTAAATAGGTATCTGTCAAATCCTTCAAGCCCAAACAGAGAAGGTAAAAGTTTGTCAGTTTAATTTGTCACATTAATGGCCCATGAGGTAGTGAATTATGAGGAAGCTACCGTAGGAGATAATCACAGCTCTTTATACAAAACTTTCTTACCTCTGGGTATCAGGGCAGGCTGCAGTTTGGATCATATCATCATTCCCTGAATGGAAGGAATGCTCTCATGCAGAGCCATACGTCCCATTTTTAATGTAAGTGTAACAGTCATATCACCATTCCTGTTCTGTCACTTCTGCTGCACACATAGTGCATTTTCAAGAAGCACCAACAAGGGTGAGAGTGGCCACACCAGATGCCCCACTATCTGCTATTTCCTCCAGCCCCTGTTGTTATAAGCTGGTGGAGGGCAGGGAGTACTTCTGGATAGCAATGGCAGGTCTCTCTTTCTCTCTCTCTCTCATTTCCCTATTTAATCACATTCAGTTGATCAATTATTGTTTGGCCCATCCCTCCATCTGTAAGCACTTGATAAAAGTCTTCATTCTAGTTTCCAACATTGATAAGAAATTTTTTCCAAATGTTATATTATTTTTGTCATTTCACTGGGACTCTAAAATATCTAATCAAATTAATGGATTCTGAAGATTAAAAATAATGAGGTAGGCACATCATATAAGAAATGTATCATCTTCTTGTATTGAGGTAAAGAAAAATTATTGAAAGCCAAGTGCCAGGAAGAAAGCTTTTAGAAGCCAGCACATATCTTCCTCAGCTTACAATGGGGTCGAATCCCAGTTAACCATTGTAAGTCGAAAATACCATTAAGTTGAAATGCATTTAATACATCTAACCTCTCAAACATCACAGCCTAGCCTACCTTAAAAATGCTCAGAACACTTACATTAGCCTACAGCTGGACAAAATTATCTACCACAAAGCCTATTTTATAATAAAATGTTAAATATCTCATGTAACTTATTAAATATTATACTGAAAGTGAGAAACAGAATGGCTGCCTGGGTTCAGAATGGTTTTAAGTGTATCAGTTGTTTCCTCTGGTGATGGCATGGCTGACTGAGAGCTGCCGCTGCCCAGTATCATGAGATAGTGTCATACAGCATGTTACTAGCCTGGGAAAAGATGAAAATTCAAAATTCGAAGTACAGTTTCCACTGAATGGTATGCTTTCACACCATCAAAATGTTGAAAAACCATAAGCTGAACCATCACATGTCAGGGACCATCTGCAGATGGAACACCTGGCTCTAAGAGTAAAGTTTCCTCTTGGAATAAAGCAGAGGAAAAATTACAGTAAGTAGATAAGGAGAATTAATGACCTCGACTGGAACAGCTCAAGTTTTAGGACATCCAAAATTCATGGAAGAACAGAATAAGCTTAGAGCTAGGTTTTGGTCTCACTGTGAAAAATAGAAATCCAGATAGTATGACTTCAGAGTCCATACACTTCACCAGACAGGCTATAGGCCTGCCTTAGGCCTTAAGCCTGATCATTTTGCTAAGAACCATGCCAAGCTGATGACCCTAAACAGCAAGTACAAGTACTGTCCCCATTTTACAAAAAAGGAAACTGACACAGAAATTACATAACTTGCTCAAGATGACAGTGGTAGAGCTAGGATACTCACAGCTGGAAAATGGAAGGGGAGAGAGCAGGGGAATAGAAGGAACAATTAACTTAAATCCAGCAAAGAATGTTAGTCCCTTGCTGATTCAAAGTGTAGTGCAGGGACCAGCACCATCAGCATCACCTCAGAGCTTGTCAGAAATGCAGACTCTCAGGCCCCACCTCTGAGCTACTGAATCATAACCTGGATTTTAACAAGATCCCCAGGTGACCTTTATGTACTTTAAAGTTATGAGCAGCACTGTGTTTGTCCTACTTCAGGTAGAGGAGAAAGAACATGGTCTTAAGCTGGTATGAATCTAAATGAAAGATGGACAGAAATGAACCACTTGGGAAATAAGAGTTTGCTCTAACAGAAAAAAATTCTTAAAATTCAAAAGGTGAGACTGGGATTGTCATTGGATTATCAAAGGTCAGTCGAAAGCCTGGAGAATTCACAAAGCTTAGCAAATATGAGATTCTGGAAGGGTACCTATGATGGACTATATGCTGGCCCTTCCTGGATCCCATAGGGCACAGGTCTGGGAAGCACCAGCAGCAGCAGCTCAGTGAGAAAATGGAAGACAATTTTCCAGGTGAAGCTAAAATGGGAACAAAAGGTGAAATCTCTCCAAGGAGGCAGAGTTAGAGGCTCAAGAGAATTTACAATAGGAAGAAGCCACTGCGGCAAAAAAAGTAGCAGAAATGGCAGAGATTAAGCACAAACAACAGAAGGGATGAGCTTTAGAATTTGAGGAGATAGAAAACAGTGCAAAACCATGAACATTTTTATGAACCACAGATCCTTTCAGGAATTATTTTGATAACTGAATGGAAACCATGTTCACAAGAAAAAGGAAAAAGGATACATCCCTTCACAGATTAGATACAATTTCACAATGTTATGATATCAAATGGTATAAAGAAGGTGTAGGATAATTAAACAATACCCCCGAAGCAGGAGTCAAAAGTTGACTACTTAAAAAGAAATTATAAAGTCAACTTAAGCTTTTAAAAGCCCAGTACCAATGGCTTTTAGTTCTTTTATAAATTATTTTAGGAAATGCTGCATCACCAACACTTTTGATGCCACTGAAGACAAAATGGTATAGAGAAAGACACTGATGACTGAAGTGGAAAAGCGATTCCGGAGTCAGATTCTGAATGTGAAGAAGTTTTAGATATACCTTAGCCAATTGAGTTTGCTTACAGTTTTCCTACTTTATGTATGTACCAGAGAGATCAATCATAAAAATCTGTTTTAAATCGGTCTGAAAGCTCTCTTTCAATAAACATGAAATAAAATTCTAGGTGAGAGAAAGCACTGCACAATTTTTCTGTTACTCTAATAATTTGCTTCCTAAAGGTAGAATGCAATACCCTTCGGTTAACATAGTAAGCCTTGCTTGTTAGCACCATAGAAATAAATGCAAGATATGGTGTCTGAACAACTTCACCCCTAGGGGGAGCTCAAAGTACATCTTCCTTTATTCCACCCCAGACACGTGCAAAGAGATACTGCCAAGGACACAATAGTGAGCCACAGTTCTAGGTATTGCTTCTCAACTAAATGGTAAAAACATCAAATGTTCTTCTAACTACAGGTGAGGTCTTAGATCTTTCAGATCCCTTCTGGATTTACTCTTCACTCATAGAGCACGTGCAAAAAAAACTTGCCTCCTTTCTTGGGAAGGTTATTAAGAAAGTAGATGAGATAATCAGGAAACAGCCAAGGGAAAAAGTGATATGGAACAGACAGCCTGCCTCTAGTCTAGGCAAAAGAGTCCTTTTTCTAGAGCTGAGTTCTACATGGTGCTTTGGAACGAAGGCCTGTAGCAATAAAAAGCAAGTATACATCCGGGACGTGCTTGGGAATCTACAAGGGAGGTGGCAGCAAGCTCTAGTCTAGTAAATGTGGAATTAGAATCCTATCTATGATCTGTTTAGAAATACAGCCAACAGTTAATTTTAAGAACTTTCTTTTTCTTCCAAGATAATAGTATCTTAAGCATTGCCACCTTAGTAAATATAAAAACTTATAATCAATATACTATTTTTAAGGGAAGGATAAAAATAAAGGCTATTTTTAAATGTAGACAAAATGTTCAGTAGTTAACTGTTTTACCTGGAATGATCCAAGAATATCCTTTAAGGGCTCTTCATAAAACTCATCTCTTCCAAAGAACAGCAGCAACTCAAAGAAACTCCTAGAAAGAATAAGTGAATGGTAACTTTCATTGCTTCTCTGATTTTTGCTCCAATTAAAAAGATTCTCAAGCGATAACAGCTATACATTATCAGGTATTTAGCTTTAAAATAGTTGGTTTTGAAAAATTACACTGATCTTTTAGGATTCATGTTATGTTTTCAGTAAAATTATTAAAAAAAATTCATTGAAGTCCTACACCTATAGAATGAACAATTACATTAGTTATGCCTATCAATGTTCACAGTAGGGAAAATAATGCAGTGGTATACCAGGTGGCAAAATGTGGCTACATATGTCAAAATGATTCAAAATGGGTACACAGTCCAGCTTCACCCCAGTACAATGGGCCCAGAAAAAAATACAAAATCTAATTTTTTCAGAGAAATATAAGGGATGGGTAAAATTTACACAAAAATATAAGAAAGTTATAGAATCACAATGAAACTCTCAGCCAACATTTACATTATAGCAATATCACCAATTCTGCATCTAATAAATGACACAGGGGTCCCTCAGCCCCTAGGCTTACCTTGATTATCACACTCATGATAAACTGCTCAAACTCTGTGGTTTCTCCTTTTTAAATAAATTATTTGGTAAATACTGTTACTAGTAGTTTATGTGCCTTTAATAATTCATGAGTTCACACAGGAAGAAATATGACTTATTTCCTAATCATGAGCATGAAAAACTATTAAAATTATTTAATGTTACTTAGTAATCCTAAAGTAGCACAATGACAAATCCCTGAAAATCTTTAAATTTTATTGCTCTAGAAAATATTCAACTAGGAATACCTGATGTTGTCTTTTTTAAACACTTTTGGCCCCCTTTTTTTGAAGCATAATTGACATACAACAATATATTACCTTCAGATGTACAACATAATGATTCAACATTTTTATATATTGTGAAATGACCACAAATCTAGTTAACATCCATCACCAAACATAGTTGCAGTTTTCTTCTTGTGATGAGAACTTTTAAGATTTACTCTCTTAGCAACTTTCAAATATGCAATACAGTATTATTAACTATAGTAGCCATGCTGTGCTTTACATCCTCATGATTTATTTTATAACTGGAAGTTTGTACTTGTTGACTCACTTTGCCCATTTTGCCTAACCCCAATCCCCTACCTCTGGCAACCACCAATCTGTTCTCTATATCTATGACCTTGGTATTTTGGGGGGCTTTTTGCTTTTTGCTTTTTTTAAGGTTCCACATATAGGTAAGATCATTCACTATTTGTCTTTTTCTGACTTATTTCACTGAGTATAATGCCCCTAGTTTAATCCATGTTGTCACAAATGGCAATACTGCATTCTTTTTATGGCTGAATAATATTCCACTGTACATATACACCACATCTTCCTTATCCATCAATCCACTGATGGACACTTAATATTGTTTCTATATCATAGCTGTTGTAAATAATGCTGCAATAAACACAAGATGCCTAAATCTTTTCAAGATAGTGTTTTCATTTTCTTTGGGTAAACATTCAAGTGGAATTGCTGGATCATATGGCAGTTCCACTTTTAATTTTTTGAGGAACCTCCATACCGTCTGCACCAATTTACATTCCTACCAATAGTGTACAAGGGTTTCCTTTTCTCCACATCCTTGTCAACACGTGTCATTTCCTGTCTTCACTCTTTGCCTTTAATCAAAACAAATCACTAATAAAAACAAAATTTTAAATGCAAATGTAACTATGAGAATATAGTTTTAAAAATTATATAAAAGACCTAAGTATTACCCAATTATTACAAAGACCCTTCTAAATATAGCATAGTAGTCATACTCCATAAACTGATATAATTTTGACTACTGAAAATTTTTAAATGTCAAAAAAAACACATAAAAGTAGTCAAAAACAAAATGGTACACTGAGAATCTTTGTTGATTTCCTTAATTAAAAAGCTGATACAAGTAACTTTTTAAAAAAAAGTTAACAAACTGGTAGAAAACTGGGAGGCGATAAGACTATTCCACAGAAAAGAAATACCAAGTGGATTTTTTCAAATATGAGAAGACTGTCTACTATAGTTAAATAAGTAAAATTATAATGACATATCACCTCTCCTATCATATTTAGAAAAATAAGAATGTTGAGGTATTCCATGATGGCTCTGATACAGAGAAATAGGCTTTGTGATCTTGTTGAAGGGATGATATGTGGTACTACCTCTTTTAAAGGCAATACAGTAAATACAGTAAGGCAAAACTCTTAAATGCACACATACCATTTGACTTACCATTTCTACTTATAAGTATTTAATCCTCCAAATAATACATGTTCAAAGACATGTGTATATATATATGCATCCACAGGTGGCTTGTAATAGTTAAAGAATGGAAACATACTAAATGTCTACTACAGGGGACTGGGTAAATTAATTATAATATACTCATACAATGACATTTGATACAAATATTAATATTAGTGAGAATATAATTACATCTATATGAGTAGATAAGGGAAAAAATTCCAAGATATTAAGCAAAGATGCAGAAATCTATTCATTACATTATCATTGGTGAGTAGAGGGTGCATGTACACCAGTGCATACCACCAGATGGCTAGAGGGATAAATAATAAACTGGTAAAAGCAGTTGCCTTTAGATAGGAAACAGAAATTAGAGGTCAGGGGTGAAAAGGAGAATTATTTTTCATTATCAACCATTATGCATTTATTTTACCATCAATAAGTACATATAAAATAGCCCCACCAAAGTACCTCTGGAATCTTTATCCCTACTAACAAAGCATTAATTCACATCTATCTTATTTCTTAACTTCTAATAGAACCTATCTCTAGTCATGCTATTTCACACTTTCCTAAAATCCATGTTCAACCCAGCTGCCATTGTGATCTTTCTAAAACACAGAATGATCTACTTATAGACTTTACCAATTGCTGTTTAGATTGTACCATCTAAAGCAAAGAACTTCAGCTGACACATTTATTTTATATGGATAAAATATTAGTTTAAGATAATTTAGTCAGTTTCCAATATTTAAAAACTGTGATATTTCAGATTAAATATAGATTTCTCTGAACTCTTAAAAAACAGAAACCCCTGTAACACAGGGCTTGCATCTCTCCATGGCAAAATAAGCTGAGCAGCTACTGCCCTTGGTCAAGGCATGGACCTCTTTTCCAATTTGCCAGTCTCCATCCACCCCTCATTTCTCCAGCACACTGCCTACCTGACTTATTTATTATTTATATTCCCTTCCTGTTCTATTTAGGTATTTGAGATCACTGTAGAATAGGAAATTCAAATTCCTTATTATAACATACGAACCTTTAAATGTCTGATCCCAAACTACTCTTACACACAGCTTTTACCACAAATTCCATGCTCTCCAACTGCAGCAAACTACTCTATATTCCCTAAAACTCCTATACTTAAAGGTCTTTGGATCCATTGCTTCCTAAAGACCTATTTATAAGATTTCACCTTGGAACTTAGCCTAAAAACTCCCTTCCTTCTTTCCAGACTGACAAACATAGAGGTGATTCTTCTGTACTATCATAGCACTGTACTTTGCATATCGATTATAACATGTTGAAACATGGAGGTGTTAAAGTTGAACTAGGTAGAGCAGAGTAGAAACTGCATCATTATGTTGAGTAGACAGTATTGGCTAGTAGGACATTTAATTCTATTAAAGGAGGGAGTGATACAAAGTTTCTTAGTAGAAATAAAACATGTTATGGCAGTAAATTCAGAGATGAGCATGCAGATTAATACGGCCTTGTAGATAATAAAACAAAATATGCAGAAATATGTCTACTACATTACGTGAACATGAAAGGGAAGCCAATGTTTCATGAGATCTGTGTGTGCCCCACTATCAGCTACCTCAATAACAAGGCCCAACTTCATGATAATGATATTAAAATGAGAAAAACTACATGTAAAATAAGTAAAGACTAAATAATGATAAAACAACTTGGTCTAATGATAAAACAACATGGTCGAGCTAGCTCTGCCTTGGGGTAAGATTCAGGGACATCAACAAGTATTACGCAGTAGTGAAATCATTAGGGGAAAAAAACCTAGATTATATGTAGAAATAGAAACTTCATGTTTCAAATCTGTTGAATTTCCTATTGCCTACTATAAAGGATCCACCAAATGCTTAGAGATCAAACTGTCTAGCCCTCAAGGAAGCAAATTCTACAAGGTGCAGGGTAAATGAGTCCAAAATGGAACAAAGTAGGACCCCAAAATTCACCTAGCAATCTAGAGCAGAGATGGCAAACTACTGCCCATGGTCCACATCTGGCCCAAGAAGGCTGAAGGCCTGTTTCAGTATAATGCATGAGATAAGAATATTCAGATTGTTAAAATAAAAAAATAATATTTCATAATAGGTAAAAATTACATGAAATTTAAATATCACTGTCAATAAGTCATTACTGCAACACAACCAAACCCATCTATTTACACATTGACAATGGCTGCTTTCACACTACAAAGACAGAACTGAGTGATGGCAACAGACACTTTAAGGGTTAAGCCTAAAAATATTTGCTATGTGGCCCTTCATTCACCCATGATCTAGAGTCACACTGGGTTTGAATCAGCTCCACCACTTCCTTGATGTGTAACCCTGGGCAAGTCACTGAATATCCCTGTGCCTCAGTTTATTTATAAAACAGGAACAGTAATAGTAGCTACCACTTATAAAACACTTAAAACACTCCCTGGTAGTGCTATAGATGCTTGCTAGTAATGATAAGGAACTACTGTTTTTATTAACATTGCCATGAAAGTTTCCTTCAACAGTCTAAAATGAAACATGAGATCTTCAGTTTTGATCTTTTCAGTTGTGTATATGTCAATTTTGTTGAAACATATGACACCAATTTTTCTCACTTAAATTATGAAGATTTTAAAGATACCTGATTAAATTCATCAAAATGTTTCTTTCCAAAAAGTTATATATATATAATGTTATACTGTTTTTTAATGTTGAAT